ATGCATGTCATCGTATCCCAATTGCGTGGATCGATGATCAATTGTGAGGATTGGTGCTCATGATGTCAATAACTGGATTGTCTGGCCCAGACTTGATTATTGACAGACCGACATCATATAGCTGGACTATTGCCGAGTGCAGCGTTAAACAACAAACAATCAGCAAATATATTACAAGACTATTGGTACGGGGGTGGTTGACTTATTACAGGTATGTCAAAATACCCCTTCTCCCGGGACAACCGACAAGCAGGAATCTCCAGCACTGTATTTCGTGGGCCTCATCTCCCCCCACTGTCGATCGCCCTGTATCACCAGCACACCAGTCGCGTTAAGGAAACATCGGATAAAACTGACACAGTTACCTCCCGTGAGTTCATATTTCCTTTGCCAAAACGATATATATCACAGGCATTAACCTTACCGATGCATACAGGTCGTAAAATCCACGAAAACCCATAACCGTTTAACTGAAAGTATCATCGTACGTTTCAGAAATACAATATGGTTACTATAGAGACCTATTTTTTGTCACTCAGTCAAACACACACTTAAATTTTATTGTGAACATTAATTTACCCGTTTCAGTTGTGACAGAACGCGGTTGTACATTGTAGATAAATGTAATTGCAAACATTTGTAGTTCTGTTATATCATCAAAACATGAAATAAATTTATAATGTATCATCTATAATGTATCCAATCTGATACCAGCATCCTGCGCCGAGGCAAATAACTTCTCCAACAGATGATGTATGTTTCTATCGCCCGTTCTTGTCGCGGGATAGACGTGTCCTTAGAAACACAGCTGTTTACACGGACTCGTGATAGACTGACATCTGGTCTCTGAAATGAAAAGGTTTTTAAGTAAAAACAGTTGTTAAATTAGTATAATAAGACGTAATAAAAAGGAGCCAAGAGACTCTTCACAAATATATCCAATATGTAACAACAGTAATCTGGACTTGCCAACTATTATAGACTTGCAGTCGGTTTACCTATAAATACAGTAAACTACGGTTATAACGAACACGCTTATAACGAACTAACGGATATAACGAACTAACTTTTTAGTCCCGACTATATACCCACACTACAAAAAAAAAGATGTATGAAGTTGAGAAGCCAGCAGATAACAACGAGGTTAATCGTGCAAACGTCATGTTTCAACTTGGAAGGTAAGAGTGAGTGAGTGAGTGAGTGAGTATTGTTTGACGCCGCTTTTAGCAATATTCCAGCAATATCACGGCGGGGGACACCAGAAATGGGCTTCACACATTTGTACCCAAGTCGGGAACCGAACCCGTGTTTTTTCGGCGTGACGAGCGAACGCTTTAACCACTGGGCTACCCGACAGCCCTGGAAGGTAAGAGACTACCCATTGCCAACAGTTCTACAATGCCACCGAAAGTACAAAGATTACGTTACATAAACACACACACATATATACTCACTGCCAAACGAAACACAAATACCATACATGTTGGTTAATATATGAGGAATTACTCATATTCAAGAGACATTAGATGATTTCGATGTACAAACGAACATACTAGTATGTTGCGTGAACCGACGCTCATGAACGCATCACACACATGACGTCATAGATCATTGACTCTAGATGCACAATTTGTCTAGTGCAGGATTAGTGTGAAAAGTTTGGAACTTACGTGCAGCATAACGTGATAAGAATAAAGACACTATGTGGAAACACTTGACTGATTGTTAGTTTTGTCATTAAGTTATATAGATAGATATTTTATTCGGTATTTAAGGCCACATGGCCCATTGTACGGTTGACATTTTCAGTTTCATTGGTTTAGTCACGTGATATACATGATATATAAAATCTATCTGACAGAGAATATATGTTTCAACAATATGGCTAATGAACGTATAACAGCAGAGCATTGTATTAAACTGATCTTTAACATCCTGTTTTCATGTCTATTGTTAAACACCGGAATATACTTTTAAGTATTAAGTGGTACACATTGGTACGTCTCTTCTTAACGTAGATACTTCTCTAAACGTTTGTATTATTCGCGTTTCTTTGGGCGGTGAGTACACATAGCACTTTCATACATACACTTGATCTTCTAGTACCAGTAAAGACAAATTCTGAAAGTCGAGGTGATGCTAGTTAAAAAAGTGAAAAAACCGTGACATTTTCCTTGAGCAAATCCTTTTTAAAATTCAAAAAAAATCATTTTGTTGTTGTACATGTGTACGACATCTCATTTACAATCTCTTGCAGCTAATCAACGCATCTTATTTCTGTACAATGATGCTCTGTGTGTCACACTGAACGCTGAATGAAAACATGCCGACAGACACCGCAATGTGCATGCGGTCTTCGGGCTTGTTACATGTGCTTGAAACCCGTGAAGAATAGGGGTGGAATAGGTCTTCAGCAACCCATGCTCGTCGCAAAAGGCGACTATGCTTGTATGAAGAGCCGACTAACGCGATCGGATGGTCATGATGGCAATCACTGGATTGTCTGGTCTAGACTCGATTATTTACAGACCGCCGTCATATAGCTGGAATATTGCTGAGTGCGGCGGTAAACAACAAACAAACAAACAAACAACATGTGCTTGAGTTTCGATTCGTATTTATTGCTGACATCAGGTCATATTTACATGACTCAAGGTCACATATAATGGTTCGTAAATAACGCGTGTAAACTCGGTATAGTTTTACATTTACGGATTGTTGTTTTGGAATCGCACCAGGAAACAGGATAATTTTCAAATGGCAATCGAAGCAGTCGTAAAATATCTTAATTCGTGCAGGTTTGCTTGTCGTTTCTGGAAAAGGTGAGGTGATGGTGAAATGGGGTTTAACGTCGCGTCCAAGATTATTGCACTAATATAGCGACGTACATGCACGTGTGTGTGTGTGGCTACCTGTACTAGTCCGATGATGCCGACTGATGCCGATGCCCACTGAGATACCATGCTGCAGTTTAACATGAATACCTCACTCTGACACAGTATACTGACCCCGAGCCGACCAGTCCTTGTTTAAGCCCCTTAATGCAGAGCGCCAGACAGGGTAACAACAAGTACCATCCTTTAACGTCTTTTGGTATGACGCGACCGGGGATCGAACCCCGGACCTTCCGCTCTCTGGGCGGACGCTCTACCACTAGACCACGGAGGCGGTAAAATATAAAGTGAGTGTTTGTTTATAAGTTGATGTTTCACGGCGCATTTATTCCATCTTCATGACGTCAGCCTGTAAATAGCCGAACCTGGTCCAGACGCCCCATTGTGAGCACCACTCCAAGCCTTAGGGGTCCTCAGTGGTAGAAACTAACATTTGTAGTTCACAAGTCCTTGTGAAGATAACACATAGCTAAACCCTTAAAATGGCAAATTTCAAGAATCCTTATGATTAATTATTATATGGATAATGTGTGAAGGTTCTTTGGTGAAATGGTCAATTTCTGTCGAAAAGACGCCCTTCTTGATTTAAGCGTGACAATCAATCCCCATGTCAGAAACAACACACGTTAAACATGAGATCAATGTTTTATTTACAATAAAACAAAACTTTATTTTTATGTGCAATGAAATGGAAATAAAATATGTTAGATAACGCAGTTTTGACTTCAGGAACTTGGCACAGGAACTTATATTTTCGCAGTAATATCATTAGAAACAAACAATGTTGGATTATTACTCGACCACGGTAAAAAAACAACTAAAAAATGCCCATATCACAGCAGTGGATAAGTGAGTGAATAGATTACTCCACAGTCAGTAACGATGCAGTTACGTCACGGCGACCTTTAAATACCCAGTGGTTGATAGCATGAACAAGACTCGCGCCATTACAGAACGATGTCACACACTGGAAGACACCAGGCCGACTATTTTTACGGCTTGTCGTGGATTCTAAACCTCGAGTCACATTAGTGAGCTAGTGTCGTTTAACGCCGCTTTATATAGAATGTTTGGGGGGGGGGGGGGGGGGGGGGGATCTCGAAGTGATGCAGGTCTCGGGCTTTTACCACTTTGGTAAAACCCACGAGCATGGATATGGTGCCGACAAACCACGACACGTAATTTAGGCGTATCTGGGATTCGAAAGCACGATCATAGGTTTCTGGTACGTCAAAGGGAGGCAACTCTGCACATCAAATTTGGACGACCGGGAGTCACAACATGACATGGGTTCATCTGTGCGATGACGTATTTTGTTCATAGTTTGAAGAACCTAAAGTTAAATTAATTTTTATGGTGGAAGGACACAAAAATGTTCATTCTTAATCATGCCATAATATGCTGTGCTTTAAACAGAATGAAAACATGGTACATTTACTCATTACCATTACGAAGTGACCCTCCGCAAGGCGAAAATACATTAGATGCTATGTACTGAAATGACACTACATATATCATGTTTTAGTCAAGTATTGTGTTCATCTGTAAACCAAATCGATAGTCACTTTGTGACGGAAATATTATCAGTGTACCTCATTGCATTATTGATAAATGAATGGATGCCACTGAATTATTTGACACAATGTTTTACTCAAAGAACAGTCAGAAAATTCATAATAAATAGTTGTCTTATCCTCTCATCTCGTGAGGGACGGTGGGGTAGCCTAGTGGTTAAAGCGTTCGCTCGTCCCGCCGAAGGCCTGGGTTCGATTTCCCACATGGGTGCAATGTTTGAAGCCTATTTCTGGTGTCCCCCGCCGTGAAATTGCGTGAATATTGCTAAATGCGGCGTAAAACTATACTCACTCACTCTCATCTCGTGACGTGAAGTTGACGTTTTCACTAGTGGTTATATCAATATTATGAAAATGCCACTATGTAAGATAACTCGATTAGAAGAACATGTTTGACAAGAAATGCCCCCTGACCCGTGAAGATCCTGGTAAGAATAGGTCTTCAGCAACCATCGCTTGCCGTACGTGTCGTAAGAGGCGACTAACTAACAGGCTCGCTGACTTGGTTGATGCATGTCGTATCCCAATTGCGTAGACCGATGCTCATGATGTCAATCATTGGATTGTCCTGTCCGGACTCGATTATTTACAGACCGCTGTGATACAGCTGGAATATTACTGAGTGTACATGTGGCGTTAACCAACCAACCAACAAATCTATATGACCTAACACAGAATGATTAGTTGTGCTGGGTTTTATATAAATGATGACCTGAAGAAACTGTGGAGTGTGTTTAAGTTTATCTGGTGACGATTTGTCCTCGTATTTGTTTGTATATCCCTTGTATAATAACGACGTCATCAACAAACGTTTTTGTTTTTTGTTGTCTGAAGTAATCTGGACCTGACGATCCAGTGATTGACAGCATGAGCATCGATTTTGATACGGTAGCATGCATCAAGTTAGTCGCCTTTTACGACAAGCAACGGTTGCTGAAGACCAATTATAAGCCGGTCAAACGACAGTTCATTTATAATGAATTTGACCAGATGTCAAGTACGACGATGTTCACACTAACGATTCCATAGCACCAAGTTTCACAATGAAAGGGACGACAGGTTCATTGTCCGACTGCAACTGAGTTCCACTCTGGTGAGATGTCAGCCATATTGGCTGCAGTTCAAACATGGCAGATGAATCTGAGCACGTTTCTGAGAAGGATCGTTTATGTTTGATTGGCTTAAATCTTGTTTGGCAGTTGAGCTGTAACTCTGAGTTCTCACGGACACAGGATTCAGACTTGTGTCTGTTTCTAGAAGGTCGACATGACGTCATTTCCGGATGAGGCGGAACCTCAGCTAAGAAGTCTTCAAAATTTGGTACGTCTTTTGATCGGGTGTCTGGTGGCAGTACATAAGTGCAGTCAGAGGAGTGAGATTCGCTGCTACACTGACAGCTCGGCATCGGCTGGGTATACTCAACGTTTGCTAACCACATTTTAACACAGTCTTCTTTCGTGAGTTGTCGAACTTGCTTTGTGTCCTTGACCTTGGTTCGAGACGAGCCTACACACACGGCTGTGAAGTTCGTTCCCCCAGTCAGCGACTGCGATGATGTCCTACCGGAAAGCTTTTGATGAGCGTGTCTGAACGTATTCGTACTTGCTGTCATAGTATCGTTGTCATTCCATTTGAATTCCTCGGGACTGATCACCTTAATCTCCCGAGATGCCTCGGGTTCTTTAACACCAGACTGCTTCCCGGACGTGACTAGAAAATGTGACATGGAAGGTAAACGTAGTTGTAACTTCTGCCACATTGAGCTTTTGTTAGTTCTACGCTGCACTACACATCTATTATCATTTGAAATATCACCACGAGAAGCAATAACTCCTGATGTCTCACTAGTTCCAACTAAACTAGTTCCGACTGTGTTCGTGTTCCGACTATTAGAGGAACAGATATCCAGACTGACTTCACTTCTATTTCTGGCCCTTCCATTCGTTCCAGACTTCCCCAAAATGAATTTATGTCCTTTCCTTGGTAATCTTGGCTGACTCTCCACATTAAGAGCAGCAGGCGCTTGCGACGCATATTTAGACACACGAGTTGGGTCATCGATAGAACAAGACTCTTGTGTTCCCGTTCTGTACGTTCCATAATCAGTAGGAGTGTCACTAGGCCTGGGATCCACGGATACTGTCCGCCCAGAAACACGTCCACAACACATGGATGCTTCACCACTTCGAGTTTCGCCTTCACGAAATGGTATCCTTTCTGCTACACCTTCACCTGGAAACGGCAACCTTGGAGACGATCGACTTGACTGGTCCTTTCCCCTTGCAGGGAGGCCATGTTGCGTCGTTTGAGTTTTCCCATCAGAGGTGTCGTGATGGTTATCAATATTGGAACTGATGGATGGTATTGCAGGTATGCCTTTGATGATATTGTTGCTTTCTAGGATGGTGGCCTGGTCTGGCGTTTCCGATTGGATCAGCTGTACATTTGACGGCGGAATGATGAACCCACAGCTCATGAATTTCAAAATCAGCGCACAGATGTAGAGTGCTAGAACCGTGACAATGACTATAAGTTTGGTGATATAATCATAATCCGCTTCTGCTTTCAAGAGCCACACTGCCACCATGGTAATGTTTTCAACCAGGATGACAGTATAAAAAGACACATACTTACATTGCACTTTATATATATCCTTCTCTACGAGGTCAAAAATATTCAGGAAGGATAATCCAATCCTCATGAGAACATCTTTGAGGACCAAGGACTCGCTTTTCACAGCCTTGCAGCTCATATACCCAAATATCAAGAACACCATGTGGAGGGCAAGGAGTATCAACACAAAGTATGGCGCTGCGAGATTCATTAGGACAATACACGCGAATCTGGCAGTGAGAGCAAGAGTCGTTCCCAATAGCAGCAGGAATATTCCACAGTATCTCTTGGCGTTGCCAGTGGGCACGCCAGTGTCATCGTTCCAGGAACAGGAATGGAGCTGTTCGCGGACACAGAACATGGTCAGGCTGATAGAAGCCGATAGTAGAGCTACGGACAGTGTTAAGACGGGCACGGCTTTAATAGTCATAGTAGAAAAAGTTAAGCATCCGTGAAGCGCTAGGAAAGGCAGGGTTTGAATGGCGACGTGAGTCAGTCTTAGACTCGTCATTTCCAACCAGTCTCTTTTGTCATACAGAAAGATCAGCTTCCCAAACCTCCATGCGAGGCCAAACTGACACAGGTGTAGAACAAAGCACAGCAGCTTCCCGAAGGACTTGTCCGAGAAGTCCATCGACGTTCTGACCATCATGGCTGAAGACGTGTTGGTGAGGACGAAGGAGAGCAGGATGATGACGATGTAGGTGATGAAGAAGGCCATATGGTCGTGCAGCTCGGTGGTTAGGTAGGATATAAGCAGCGTCTCCAGGTACATGGTGATGATACTTATTGTGAGTAAAGGGTTCACCATCTTGATGTACAAATATCTGATCTGCTACAGCCTTCTGTGGTATGGTCTTCCCTTCGTTAAGCTACGCATTACTGGAATCGGAATCAGTCAATCGCGTATGGTGACTTTACATCATAAGAACATCTTATGTTGTTTTATACATGCTGTTTCGGTAAGACTTTCCTTGAGCCGTGAAGTCAGGTGTTCTCACATGATTACACCTGTGTTTTAACCGTGTGCATAGCTCCATCCAACATGCCTTTGAGCTGCAGTCGAAAATAGTTGCCCGCCGCGATCAAACAGCCTTCTTAGTGCACTCATCTTCTGTGTGGTGTACGTCTGTCTGCTACTCCCAAAGCGCTACCTGCAACATCGAAAACAACTTTTGTTAAGTAAACAAGTAGACATGCCATTTTGTTGCCACAGAGCATGGCCCACAGCTTTTTCTCAACCTGTAATCTTGATAGCAAACACTGCAGGTATTTATTGAAACGGTTCTATAATAGAAGTGTTAATTGTTTTTGCTGAAAGTCGTTGCACACTTTCGATGCGAGACGGTATGACTCCACTTACCAGACGTACAATGCAAATGTATTTGTTGAAATGGTAGTATAATAGGAATCCTTTTCCCCAAATACCATGGCCTTCTTTCACAGCGGGACACCGTGACTAGACTTACCTGACTTTCACTTCTATTGGGCCAATTAACGACGTCTAAACACATGTACATCGACAATCACTTGTACAACTTCACTCTATACACCTGTGTACAGATACGCTATACCTACAGGAGTGTCCACCGTGATTCTTTATACATAAGAAGATTTAACATTAAGATAGATATCAGATTGTGTGCCCGCCACGGGTATTAAATTACATCCGGGCATTCATGTACCAAGCATGAATTTGCCACCTTGGGGTTACAGCCAGAGGTCAACTCGATCTATTGCCGAAAGGTCATATTACCCATTAAAACACAGACCAATGAATGACACATCTGAATTGGGCGTTTACCTGAAATCTTTACCTATTGTTGGCAATAAAAATGAAACGAACCCTTTCCGATCGGCAATGTTGCATGCCCACATTCATTTAGAAATGTGTTTTGACGTCCGATCTTAGGCAGTTTAGGTTATAGGTATAAATAATTAAAGGTAATAGAAGAAGAGACTTTCCATGAGAAAAAAGAAGGCGCGGCTGTTTGCGTCAACGATATGGATATTTGATCTCATGAAATTTTTGAAATACGAAATAGATATACCGAAAAGATGGTATCTTCGTAGAATGCTTGGTTAAAAAAAGTTAATCCTATTTTAATTAGAAAATAATCATGTGAATTTCAAAGAGGTGGGTGTGGGTGTGAGTGGTGGTGGTGTCAAGGGGCAAGGCCCTGTTTTACTAAAAAAAAGTACACATGCCTCGCATTGTCCGGAAAATCATAATGTGCCCTTTCCTTGCAGACACTTGTCTAAAGAATACAGTTCGTTATATTTTTCTTCGATTCAAGAATAATAATTAAGCACCTCTTTATGCTGGGAAATGGTTTTTTTTGTTTTGTTTTTTTGGTTGTTGTTTAACGCCGCACTCAGCAGTATTCCAGCAACATGACGGCGGTCTGTGGACCAGACAATCCAGTGACTGACAGCATAAGCATCGATCCTCGCAAATGGGATCGATGACATGCATCAACCAAGTCAGCGAGCCTGACCATCCGATCCAGTTAGCATTTTGACATAAACATCCATACATTTTTCAGGTAGCGGTCTTACGACACGCATGGGTTGCTGAAGACCTATTCTACCCCGGATCTTCACGGGTGCTGGGAAATGTTATTGAGCTTAACATTAAAGACAATACGTTCACCGCAAGACAAGTGGTTGCTCCCCTCGTGTCATAATGTTATGCCAGACCGCCTCCGTGGATTAGTGGTAGAGCGTCCGTCCGGAGAGCGGAAGGTCCGGGGTTCGAGACCAAAAGACGTTAAAAGATGGTTCTTGTTTTTACCCTGTCTAGCGCTCGGCATTAATGGGCACTCGCACTAAAACAAGCCGGCTCGGCTCGGAGTCAGTATACTGTGTCTGGGTGGGGTATTTATGTTAAACCTCGTCATGGTATTTCAGTGGGCTAGCAATAAAAATTCGAGACCAGTCCGGACTAGTACAAGCAGCCACACCCACACGTGCATGCACGTCGCTATATAAGTGCAATAATCGTGGACGCGACGTTAAACCCCATTTCACCTCATCTCATTTTATACCAGTCGTAACTAGCTAGCTTTAGAAAGCTGGTTAGGAATTATGCGAGTAGCACATCCTGACAATGTTACTCTTCATTCGTACAGGGGGTACGGGTGACCCAGTCGTCTAAGGCGCCGCGATTCGCTGTGCAGAGTTGCGTCCCTTGGGCACGCCAGAAACCTATGATTTTGGGTTCGAATCCCGGTTCGCCCCAATTATGTTTCTAGGTTTGTCAGCACCATACCTGTGCTCGTGGGTTTCACCGAACTGGTAAACGTCTGAGACCTGCATCACTTCGGGCTTTCCTCCAGCCAGACCATCGCGCGACAGCTGGAACAGTGAACAAGGAGCGGGGCAGTTCAGAAACTTTCAACTTTCTTGCAGCTTTTAGTAAATGGTATTATTTAAACGAGTGTTGGACCAGATTCGTGTCGTTTATTGACACGGGTCCCAGTCGTCTCAGGCGCCGCGATTCGTCGGCAGAGTTGCGTCCCTTGGACACGCCAGAAAACTATGATTGTGGGTTCGAATCCCGGTTCGCCCCAATTATGTTTCTAGGTTTGTCAGCACCATACCTGCTTCACTTCTGGCTTTCCTCCCACATTAAGCTGACACGCCGTGATATAACTGGAATACTGTTAAAAGCGGCGTTAAACCCAACTCACTCACTCACTCATTCGTACAATTCCAAACAACCTTTCTCATACCGGTATCATCTCTTTGTGTGTATTCGTGCTAAATCCATTAACCTTCTCTTTATAATATAGTTTTATGAAACATCCCATTCTAATCCAAAGAATATTTGACACATTTCGTACAGAGGAAATCCAATCAAGATACATACACGATAAGAACAAACAGTATATGATAGTATATGGTTAAACACACATACCCGATCTGATACTGCCCGTCCAGGGTTCCCCTCTACTGTTCAGGGTAGATCAATACCCTTGTTTCCCAAGGGACATGATTATACGGTATGGTCGTGGTGTCGCTACCCGTCTAACACTGCCTCGTTTACACACGGCTTTACCGTGGTTTATCAATCTACAATGAGAATGTCATTCATACACTCCAGCGCTATATATGACAGAAAAGGCTGAGCTTGATTACAGTTTTGACCCGCTTTAACTACTCCGACAGGGAACAATTTATTGGCTAATCCTTTTGATATATGGGAATAGACCAACTTGATAAATACAATTTCAACAATGAGCTTCATATTAAAAGTTCAATGGTTATCTCGTTTTCGGAGAGAGCCAAATTAAAAAAAGATATTGAGGAACTATTACAATCTCCTGCCCTATATAAGGTGATGTATTACATGAAGTTTGAGGAGAATAAATCGGGATATAAGAACAGCGTATTAAGACATATTACGTTGTAATTACAACAGGATTAGCACCCGTGTAAGGGAAATAAACTGCTTGTTATTTCTGTTCACGGCTATCGGCACAATTTCAATATAGGCCAGAGGTCCCGTGTTCTTTATCAGACGTGTCTCGGCTTCGATATTAATGTCACTCTGAGGATGTAAATAAATGAGATCCGAATTGCACTTTTATACGTTGAAACGTACAACACTTCTGTGGCCAGTCCAGATCAGTGTTGTTTGTAGGGCGTCTTAAAGCGAGACTACTTATTCTTTCAAAGAGTTTTATGGTTGACATATGGTGGACATTTTCAAATTTGACGCATCAGAGACAAAAAATATGTCCGATTATGTCCAGGTCCCTATTTGAACTTGTATCATAAGTTCTCGTGTATTTTTAGGTGAACAATTGATTTGCCTGTGCATGTGTTTGTGACAAGAGCCACCGGTGGGACGGGATGCGCTCATCTTTTCACGAACAACCGGTATCAGAACTATTTGATAGTGATTCATAAACACATGCTCATAACGTCGTAGCAGATATTTTTTATGATTATGGAAATGTTTTTTTTTGCTTTTAATTACTTTTAATTATACTTAATTATCATTAGCGTTGCGGACACTGAACAGTGGCCTTGTTATACACGTTGTTCCTTATACACATGATTCAGAAAAAAAATTTTTTGAAGACAAAATAAGTTAATCTTTTACCTTTAAGAATCTGTTTTCTAACAATCTTGACTTTGATCCTTAATTATGCAAATATCCGGATGGATGCTGATTAACTACGTATCATAATGACTATTTGTTTATATTTGATATTTCAGTGTGTACCAGCACTGTCACGCTGTAGCATTTTGACATAAACATCCATACATTTTTCAGGTAGCGGTCTAAATGTATTAAGATAACCATATATTGTACTGATGCAACACCTGTTCTGCCAGTGCTGTAAAAGATGCTCGTACATTGGGACTAGGTTATAGTCATGCTGTAAACATTGTTATTTGTCATCACATTTGAATCTGGTGGAAATCACACGCAACAAAACAAATGAATAAAAAAAATGAATTAGTAAGTATGGATTTTATGCCACTTTCAGTTAATGTCTTTGCAGTTGATCATTTACTGTTAGACTGATATATAGTCGAACCCCGTTGTCTCGAATTCGGATGTGTCGAATTCCCGGTTCTGTCGAACTCACTGTCGGATCCCAGCAAATTCTTACTATTTTTATTGCTTTTACAAACTGGGGGCACGGGTGGCCCAGTCGCTCTAAGGCGCCGCGATTCGCTGTGCAGAGTTGCGTCCCTTGGGCACCCCAGAAACCTATGATTGTGGGTTCGAATCCCGGTTCGCCCCGAATATGTTTCTTGGTTTGTCAGCACCATACCCGTGCTCGTGGTTTCACCGAAGTGGTAAACTTGCATCTCTTCGGGCTTTCCTCCCACATCAAGCTGCCACGCCGTGATATAACTGGAAGACCGTTAAAAGCGACGTTGAACCCAACTCACTCACACTCACTATTACAAACCAGATGTGTCGAACCCAGGATAAATTGAACTCCGGGAGTTCAAGACTACAAGATCGACTGCACATGATAATATATGAGTTTGCATAATAACAACAGAGTGAATGAAACTTACTGGGCTACCAACTGTCCTGGCTAAGCACCTCTTCAAATCTTATACTAACTAATGGTCGGAAAAGTACGGCAGTTTCAGTTCTTTTCAAGTCTTGTAAAAACGTCGTCCTCAGATAAACTCCTTGATCCCCCTGATAACCCTCGCGCACAGTTACGACAAACGTTGTTGGACACGGTCTCCGTCGTAAGACACCACGTTATCAGGGAGTAATCTGCAACACGCGCAGCGCCTGCATGCCTCTCCTCTGGGAAACAGTCACCTATCGACCTAGTCCCGACATTCCGGGGAACTGGTCGGACGTCCCAGTATCACCGGTTGGGGAACAGGGCTCCTCAATGGCCATTGGTCACAACCCGACCTTTTCCGTAACCTGCAAGAAGACTCGTCCCCCCTATCGATGAATGTCAAATACGACAAACCAATCAGAATGCGCGTATGACTTCAAATACTTCGTTCAAAGAATTCCCCAGGAACTAAAAAATTTACCAGAGACCATATAATCTATTATATGGTCTCTGATTTTACATATATCTTGCATTTAAAAAATACCCAAGATATAGTAAAATGTGTTCAATCACACTGTATAATAATGTAAGTCCCGATGTGTTTTCAATTGCATCTGGAATATATAGGATAGGGGAAATAAACGTGGATCATTGCGCAACGGGTTGACAATTATTTTAGCTACGACCGTTTGGGCTTAGACGGAACCAAGTCGCAAAAATGGCCACGAGAAGGGCACGAATCGCTTTTCGGCTTGTCCCGGAATAACACGAGCTGGTAACGAATACTCAATGGCGTGCGTGGCAACTGATTCGTGTCCCGTGCCTGGTCTTGTGTATAGAAGTCAAACAGAACTCTGATTTAATAGATGAGAACAATAGGGTTGACAGCTCTACATACGCATAGGATCCGTTTGATTA